GATATATGTACCCACCATAAGATTCCTAGCTGGTGCTCCTTTCTTTTTGGTGGGCACTAAGAGGTGTCTGCTATTCATAAGGATTTTAGTGGTCAATTTTTTCATAAGTGGACCACCAAATCCTTCTTCCTAGTCTATCTTATTCTGGTAGCTCTGCTGAAACCTGTCCACCATGGGTGACCCTGCTGGTATTCGAAATACCAGTGGCATAGCTTACAGCATCACACCACGCAAGAAAGCACAGACCAACAAACTGACAAAGTGGTGGGCTACATGAAGAACATGGCATCAGGATTAGAGGAAGACTCATTAACAACCTGTGGCATGCAGATGACACAACCTTGTTTGCTGAAAGTGGAGACTTTTAACACTTACTGATGAAGATCAAAGACTAGACTTCAGTATGGATTATACCTCAACATAAAGAAAACAAAAACCCTCACAACTGTACCAATAAACAACATCATAATAAATAGAGAAGAGACTGAAGTTGACAAGGATTTCATTTTACTTGTATCCACAATCAACACCTACAGAGGCAGCAGTCAGGAAATCCGACACTAAATTATACTGGGCAAATGGGCCACACGAGAACTTTTAAAAGTGATAAAGACCAGCGATGTCACTTTGAAGACTAAGGTGTGCCTGATTCAAGCCATATTTTCAATTGTCTCATACGCATGTGAAAACTGGACGATGAGTAAATTACTGTGAAGAATTATGATGCCTTTGAATCGTGTTGCTGGCAAAGTATATGAAAAATATTATGCACTGACAAAACAACTAACCACAGTCTTGAAAGAGGTACAGCCTGGATGCTCCTTAAGAGGCAATTATGGCCAAACTTTGTCTCAGGTACTTTGATCATGTTGTCAGAAGAGCTCAGTCCCTAGAGAAGGAGAGCATGCTTGGTGGAGGGTCAGGGAAAACAAAGGGAGACCCTCATCAAGATGGATTGGCACAGTAGCTGTAATGATGGGCTCAAGCACAGCATGGTTGGGAGGATGGTGCGGAACCATGCAGGGTTTCCTTGCTGTACATAAAGTACCTATGAGAGGGAATCGACCAAAAGGCACCTATTACAAAAAAGGAGTAACACATATTATAAAAACCTATCTCACTGTATTCACAGTCCACTGAACCCCTAGAAAGTAAAACTAATGAATGTTGGTCCATGAACTTTCACAGCATTAATATTCCATCATTTAACATGTAGGGTGTGGGATATACTTTGACAATGACCAGGACAGATGATCTATCCCTGAGATAACACAGTAAAACTACCCTGTGGTGCCTGCCAAGTAAAGGAAAATTGATGCTCATTGTACCAATTTAGCAAAAAGTGTGTGGTGAACAAATGCATCTTATAAATCAACAGGTGAACATCTGATCCAGAAAACAGATTCACACACAGCAACAAAGATACCATAGCTGGAACAGCGGGGATTAACATCCCAACCTAATAAGCAGTTTAGTCCGCAAAAACCTCCACACATATGTTTATAGCAGCTTTATTCATAATTTCCAAAACCTGGATGTAACAAACATATCCTTTAATAGGTTAATGGATGGAGGAAAAAAGCAACAACAAAACTTTATTTCTGCAAGGAAACCATGACTTAATATTAATACTAAGGATGAATGCACAAATAAGCAGTAATAAAAATAGCATTTCTTCTATTCCTAGAAAATATTCAGTGAAGTTAATATTAGAAGACAAAATTAATGGTGATTTACTAAGATGTGACATTCATTCAGTGTAACACAAATGAGTCAAGACAGCCAACTGCTGTGAAGAAAGTATTTTGAATGGTTATTGGCTAAAATTCCCTTGGCTATGTATCTTTGTTGACAAATTATCAACAGAATGTACTTTGTAAGAACAAACATGACGTAATAAAAAAAAACAAAAACAGGACTTTTGGCTCACATAGGACAGAAGTTATGAGTAGAGTTTAATAAGGTTGACTAACATTTTGTGAGAAAATGACCTGAGGCCATTGTTTTTTCTGTATCCCAATTTCCCTACCTAGTACCAGTGTAATTTTGGTTTAGACCATTTCCTCTCGATCTTCTAAGCACAGTATCTTCACCACGTTCATTGACAAACTGAGATGACTTCATTAAGAATGTAACTAATGTCACTGAATTGTACATGTAGAAATTGAATTGGTTTAAGTTTTGTTGTGTATATTTTCACCAAGTATATTGTGTAAATGTATATATATAAATATTTATATATATATATGGGAGCTGTGGGGGTGCACTGCCTAAAGCAATTTGACTGCTAACCAGAAGGAAGATTGGGCAATCTACTTCCATAGATACTGCCTTGGAAACCCAAGAAGGGGTTGCTATGAGTCAGAAATGATTTGATGGCAGTGAGTTAGGTTTTGTTTTATATGTGTTTGTGTGCATGTGTGGGTAAAGACAGTAAAAGTTGCAATTTTAAGGCCAGCTCCATGAATTTTCATATATAAATATTTAAGCTACCACTATTAAGATACAAAACCCATCATCACTCTAAAATAATACCCTTGGTTCCCATTTATACTGTTAATATGATTTATGTAAGCATGTGTCAGAATGTACTAAGTAACTAACTCCTTTGTTTGTATGATAGGAGGGATGACTGGAGGGTGAGAGAGTTTCAAATGAGAAACAGATTGCCAAGTAACAAATATATCTGTAGTGTTACAAGAACACAAAAAGGAACAAATGGAGAGAGACTGGATACTGCCTGCTCTTTAATAAAACAGAAAGCATATGTATTATTTTCTCCGAGCTAGCCGAAATGCATGTAAATGACACCTTGGAAAAAGAAAATATCCCTTTAAGTCTCTGTGGATCATTAAAACAAAAGCTCCTATCTTCTCATCCTGTATAAAACACAAACACTGCCCACTTCTCACTAACGTAACTAGCTGCTGCTTCTTTAGCATAGAGCTTAGCTCCACTCAATTTTTAATGCCTTCTAGACAAGAACTTTTAATATTTCTAATCAAATAATTACATTCATGGCCTGAGAGCATCTAATCCAATGGGAAGTGATCACTTGAACACTCAACCCAATCACCAAAATGATGTCCAAATCTGTTAAGTCCTTTCAAAAACTCATTGACTGAACCATTCCACAATTCTTTACATGTTTTTTCTAATTGCTGTAACTAATATATATAATTCCCTTTGGCTACAGGAGTGATCCTGATGGAGTCTGTATAGATTTCACTGACCAAACCATTATTTAAGTTTTTATTATTAACAAATAGATAAAATAAAAATATGTGAACACATATGGGTGGAAAACGTGTGAAACAGTAATAGCGATTCAAAATGTATAATGCTATAATTGAAAAAATAAGTTAATTTGAAATACGTAAATGCAAATAGACTTTTCCTATTATCATGTAAACTCTGTAAAGAATAACATTTGTTAGTATATAACTGATTTGAAGGGAAAAACATCGGCTATTTCTAAGAAATACTCACATATGGTGTTTTTTTTTTTTTTTTTTAAATAAAGTTTTTAATGACACAGGATCAAACATAATAACTGAACATACACAGTAGGACTGTATTCAGTTTTAAGTACCAGGAAGCTCCTCTAATATGACAAAGATGCTTGTTAGCATGTGGAAAGATGGGGTCAGCGCACACTAAAAAATATGGTGAGATAATAAATGTAGTAAGGAAACAAAATACCATGTTTTTTTTTTTTCTTTCTCTTAATTATTGTAAATATATATGTAACAAAACCCACTTTTTTTTTTTTTTTCTGTTGTTGTTGTTTGCTTCACCATTGTAGCTGTCCTGATATCAGGACACAGAACCACTAGAGAACAAAAGAACAAGATGTTCACTATGCAAATCAGACCTTATAGAAATATACTAAGATATACAGAAGAGATGAGATAGAGCAGCAGCAAAGATGACCAACCACAACAGTTTCATCAGTGGCATTTATGTTTTATGTAAGGGTTGTAGGGAAATCATCAAATTGGTTGTCTCACCACAGAAGAGGACCCCTTGATGTCAAGATCATGGAGACATCTTTGGAAGCCTATGCCTGAGAAAAATGGAAGCCAAATACTTTTTGCTTTGAGGGTACTTTTGAACAGCAGGACCATGAAATACGAACATTAGCTGAAAACTGATGTCCAAAAAGGCATCCATGCCATCTGTCTGTATCCCTGGATTATGACTACAAAACATCAGCAATACATTCCTCACTTGTTTTCTCCAAATCTCATTCAAATCTGGAGATTTGAACATGGAATTACACAGAGCAGTGATTCTGGTAAATTTAATTTCCCATATGACCCACAATGAAATAACAAATGTTGAAAGTAACGATTCACTCCATAATATACCTTCAGAACAACTTTGCATAATTACTGATTTCTACCAAGAACTACCATGGAATATGGAATAAGGCCTCTCTGGCAATGAAAAAAAAATTATCTCAATAAGAAAGAATGTAAATAATGATAACAGTGAACCAGTACCTAGGCCTATGAACAAATTCCAACAGATACCAACGTGTCATTTAACCACTTACTTGCAGAACTAAAATCTTCAAGAAAATTATATCTCACTGCATATTAAAAACACACTCCAAAAACCCATGGGGTCCAGAAGACTTTAAACTTGAAAAATAAAAGATGAACTTAATAATAAGAAAAAACAATATACGGGCAAACTTTTGTATTATAGCTAAAAGTACCAACAGAATTCTTTCTTTTCTTACTACTTTTTTGCTGAAATAATGAAATATATACTCCCAATGAGTTCACTTAAAAGATGAATTACTGATAAAAGCAATACCACATGTATAACTTTCATAGGATTCTTCTCCTGGTGTGAATTTTTGAGAGCATTACATATGAATTAGCTTTAAGGAGGCATTCCCACATTATACTGACAGTGCTCAACTCTACTGTGTGTTTTCACATGATATCGTAAGGCTGAGGAAGAAACGAAAGCCTTTCCACATTCCTTACATTCATAGGGTTTCTCTCCAGTGTGAGTTCTCATATGTTTTGGTAAAGATGAGGGACATTTGAAGGCTTTCCCACATTGTTTACATTCATATGGTTTCTCTCCAGAATGCATTCTCACGTGCCGTCGAAGGTATGACAACTGATTGAAACCTTTGCCACACTGCTTACACACATAAGGTTTCTCTCCAGTGTGTGTAGTCATATGTGCTCGTAAAGATATGGACCAATAGAAAGCTTTCCCACATTGCTTACATTCATAGGGTTTCTCGCCAGAGTGCATTCTCATATGTGCTCGTAAAGAGATAGACCAATTGAAGGCTTTCCCACATTGCTTACATTCAAAGGGCTTCTTTCCTGTGTGCATTCTCATGTGTATTGTTAAGGATGAGGCCCACTTGAGGGTTTTCCCACATTCCTTACATTCATAAAGTTTCTCTCCACTATGCATTCTCACGTGCCTTCGAAGGTAGAAGAGTTGATTGAAGCCTTTCCCACACTGCCTGCATTCATAGAGTTTCTCTTTGCTATGAGTCCTTTCATGCCTTCGAAGGGATTGGAGATAATAGAATGCTTTCCCACATTCCTTACATTCATAGAATATCTTGCCAGAGTGCTTTGTCATATGCTCTCGTAAGGATATAGGCCAACTGAAGGATTTCCCACAGTCCTTACATTCATATGGTTTGGCTCCAGAGTGTGTTATCAAATGTCTTCGTAAGGAAAAGTGCCAACGGAATGTTTTCCCACACTGATTGCACTCATAAAGTTTCTCTACAGTGTGCACTCTCATATGTCTTTGTAAGCATATGGGCCAACTGAAAGCTTTCCCACATTGTTTACATTCATAGGATTTCTCTCCACAGTGTGACCTCCTATGTGTACGTAACGATATGGGCCAAATGAAAGCTTTCCCACATCGCTTACATTTGTAAGATTTTTCTTCAGTGTGTGTTCTTATGTGTGTTTGTAAAGATATGGGCCATTTGAAGGCTTTCCCACATTGCTTACATTCATACGGCTTCTCTCGACTGTGTGTTCTCATATGTCTTGTTAAAGATGAGGGCCACTTGAAGGCTTTCCCACATTCCTTGCATTCATTGAATTTCTCCTTATTGTGAGTCCTTTCATGCCTTTGAAAGGAGTCGAGAAAACTGAAGGTACTTCCACACTGTTTACATTCATAAAGTTTCTCTTTACTATGGACCTTTTCATGCCTTCGATAGGATCGGAGATGAATGAAGGTTTTCCAGCATAACTCACAAGCATAAGGTCTTTCCCCACTGTGAATCCTCACATGCCTTCTTAGTTCTGATGGAAAACCAAAGCCCTTCCCACATTCCGGACATTGATATGGCTTGTGTCCAGAGTGACTTGCAATGTGCCTCTTAAATGATGAAGGGTACATGAAGACTTTTCCACACTCAGTGCATTCATGTGGGTTGACTCGAGTAGTCGTTTTCTTATACAGGTTAAGATTTGGAATCTGGCTGAAGGTTTCTCCCCATTGATTACCTTCATTACTTTCACAGAGTCTCTCAACCATATAATCTCTGTTAAAACACAGAAGCACATTATAATGTACTATTGATTTATTAATATTTGTTAACAGTAGAATTCCTTTTTAACCATTTAAATAATAAATACGTATTACCAAAACCAAACTCACTGCGGTCGAGTCAGTCCCAACTCATAGAGACCCCTCCTTGGGTTTCTGAGGTGGTATCTCTATGGAAATAGATTGCTCAATCTTCCTTCTGAGGAATGGCTGGTGGGTTTGAACCACCAGCCTTCTGGTTAGCAGTCAAATGCCTTAGATACTACGCCACCAGAGTTCCCATATACGAATTAGACCTTCCTTATTTTCTACCCTGTAAATTGTTCGAAAATGGAATAAACTGAATATTCTGAAAAAGAAATAGACCACAGCCATTATTAAAACTGTTTTTTTAAATATATAGTATTTTTTCAGTTTCCAATGGAATTATGTTTTAAACACTCAATGTCTAAGTCACTGCAGTGTAGTAAATTACTTAGTATGGCTTTTCTACCCATAAGTCATTGTAAACCAGTGGTGGAATGAGCAACTGAGGAGCTCTTGATTGTAAATGTTATCCACCTGGGTTATTTCTGTTGGGTGTGGCACAATGCAATGTTATGGGAGGCTCACTCTCAGGTGCTTAGAATTCTGTTGTTATGATTGGTTGGTTTGGCCACTCTGCCAAGCTCAAAAGGAGGTCTCCTAGAGGCAGAACTCTGACTGCTGGTTGAGGAAGATGTGCTGCTGAAAGAGACACGTGCTCCTGAGACACGTGTTGCTGGGAAAGAGACACAAGAGACATGCATTGCTGAGTGAGACACCGAGGATCAGCACTGCTGGGAAAGAGACTGTGAGAGACTGTTGGCTGAGGGGCGGTGGGCTGGGAGAGAGACTGAGCATTTTTCCTGAACTTGAATTGTAGCCTGGTGCTTCCCTAAGAAACCCCATAATCTGTGAGTTCTGTGTGGCCACTGCAGCGAATTATCAAACCCAGGAGAGAGGTGGTGGGTGCTTTGGGAGGAACAGTTGGTGAAAGGGCTGGAGGGAGGCAGCATGTCTGGCCTTGCAGGAATAGGCCTTGGGCTATTGATGGTGATTCTGTCTTCCTCTTGTGGGATTAGAGAAGGTCAGAACATGTGGCCTCCTTGCCGTTTTTGCAGTCACATTTAAAGAAAACTTTGCTCTGAAAATTGCTTGTGAATAAAGATGGAGCTAGGTGTTTTTGAGTTTTTTGTTCATTTGCATGTTCTTTTAATTTCATGAAATAGTAAGATTCTGTCCTTAGATACTGTGTTCTCTTGCATTGGGTACTCACCTCAGAGGTATCCCCTGGTTATTATGCTGATCTTCAATACTAAGGCCTTCCCACATTTTTCCAAAAATGGAGGTCCAAGGATCATTTCTTGTAGATTTTACTATTTTACCTTCCATGGATATTTTTTCCTCATGAGTATCCTGTTGAGAAACTGACCCATCGGGCTTTAATGGAGTCTCATCATCTGAAAGCAAAAAGTGTACAAATCTTACAAGGAAGAAAGCTCCTGATAGCAAACAAAAAATTTGGTTTAGGTGTTTAAATACTTCAATAATAACAGGCACAAAGGGTCAAAACTGAAAGCCACTTCACAGGCACAGTAAAATTCTCATGAAGTTTTCAAAAACAAACTTCTCCGGGCCCAAAAATTACCTATGAAACTTATATCCATACAGATGACAATAAAAGAGATTCAAGTCTTTTATCCAAGACATAAAGAAAAACTCAGTTTAACACACAGATTTTCATTGCATGGAGAAATAAGATTCTACCTCCATGTCAGTGGTGACCATGTCTGTCTTACTGAACAATATATTCTTCTTTCTACCTTTCAAATTCTGGACCAGGCCTGATAAGCAGAAACTGCTTGTTTGTTTTCTAAATAATTAAGTGAAGAAGCAAAGTCATTCTTACCTACTGATGCCAAGTTCCTGAAGGTTTCCAGCATCACATCTCTGTAGAGCTTCCTCTGAACAGGATCCAGCAAAGCCCACTCCTCCAGAGTGAAGTTCACAGCCACATCCTCAAAGACGACGGATTCCTAAAACATATGATGTATGTGTGCAGGAGGATGGGTGAAGCAGAGAGCACTGGGACTCAATCCATAGGAACACGAACCAGGATTCTGGGATCTCCTAACTACCCTGAGTCTGATAGCAGAGCTCTTACTCTGTTTTTATATACACTTTCTCGTAGATTGGGAGCTCTGGTAGCGTAGTGCCTAAAGCACTTGACTGCTAACTAGAAGGATGGCAGTTCAAACCCACCAGTCACTCCTTGGAAGGAAGGTTGGGCAATCTACTCCCGTAGTGATACTCCCTCGGAAACCCAAGGAGGGGTCGCTATGAGTTGGGGCCAACTTGACGACACATAACAACAACAACAACATCTCACAGATTAAACACCACTGCTGAGACATGGAGCTTGTTCCCACCTTTTCATTGTGACCACTTCAAGTCTTATTCTTCTCCATCCGAAGGTTTCAGTACAAAAGATACTACACCAGTGAAACAACTCTTTCCATTTTAAGACCATCAATGCCTTTTGAAGAAGCTATCTAATCTGCTTTCCTACTGTTCACCACCCCACTTAGCACTACAAGAAGCATGGACCATACCTATAAGAGGTATTAAGAAATAAAAACTCTTTGAGTGATTTGCATTTTTTCCATTTCCCTCACTGAATGTGTGAGGTTAAGGGGCCTACTGAAACTCAATTTGCAAACAAAAGCCATCCAGTCGCAGTATCTTTAAAATGCTAGGCCATTAAAAATGTACAGGTTCTAATGGCTAATGAAACTCTTTCTGAAGCAGTGTTCATCTCAACTTATTTGTGTTATAAGTATCACAACCTCAGTGTCTCCCCTTCCTCTTTGTATTATTTCATAGAAACAGGATATTATGGTGAAGTTAGAGCTCAGAAAGGAGGAAAAGACATTAGAACTTAGACCCCCCACAAATTCCTTACACTGCAGAGCCTCAGTGCTGCTGTCCACCAATCTTGACCTTACATGCCCCCACACACACAAACACACTCACACACAAAGATGGTTAGATACTTCAAAGCTCTTTCTTTCAGAGCCATAAAAAAGTACTCTATGAATAAGGCAGAGGATATGAGGCCAACTTTGCTGAGGAGTTAACTAAGTTCAAAAACATTGGACTGTGAATTTTCCCAGGAATATAACATACATAGAGGCTTAGCAGTGCTTTTCACTAAAAGAACATACTCCTTGCCTCAACTTCCAGGAAGAAGTGATTCCCCAGAGCTGCTCTAGAAGATGCACAGCCAACTTCACTCATTTCCACACTTATTGTTGAGCACACAGCATGACAGTCTAACCCCACTGTGCTGCATGGTCCCCCTAAATCCTGGTCACAAAAAGACCATCGGCCTACTCACATCCATGAGCAGGGAAAGAGAAAATACTACTGTACAGAAATGCTGCTGCTGCTGGACTGACCTAATTAGAAAAGCAGCAGCAATACAGGAATGCCCCTAGGGTTGGCACACAGGGAGATGAGCCCCCAAGGTCAGCTTAACGCAGATGGTAAAGCAATCTTATACATTCTGGTAACCAAGTTCCACTATCTAGTGTGCAGAAGAGTTAATGTAGACATGGGACATCTTATGCTTATGAAGGTCTGTTGGCAAAGTTCGCCCTTGGTTACTGTGTGAGAATCTGGATTTCAAGATGGTTCTAACCACCGTGCATGAAGAGTGGTCCACTGTACTTAACTGTTTATGAAAACAATATGGTTTATGCTGAATCCCTGCTTTTCTAGAGTGAGTCCAGAATTTTGGCACATGCTGGGCAGGAGGTACTTATATGATGATATGATCATCTGCTAGTGAGAATTCTAGGAACCATCTCTCTAATAAGCTGGCCTGCTGGACAAGATTTCACATCTGCAATCACAAATCACTACTGGAGGAATACAGTACAATCTGGATTATTCTACTGTTAAAGGACTCTTATGTGCCTGATAAATTACATACTAAAATATGGTAAAAACTACAAATCTCACACACACACACATAATGGATGTTTCTTCATATACACTTTCCCCAAGCTGGTTTTGCTTTGTGTTCTTTTGTTATGACCTAACAACTGTGAGTATGATTATATGCCAAATCCTGAACCAGGAGTTGGTCTTTAGGACCCCTGGCACAGTTGGTGTGAACGTGGGTGTAAAATGGTGGGAATAACAACTGTGCCAGAACCCATCTCCAGTAGAGCAAACGGGAATCATGATCAGCTCAAAGCTGATTCCTGTGAGGTGTAGGTCAGACATACCTTCTCTCTACAACCCTCCTGACACCTGCTATCCTCCCCACTGCACTCTACTTCTCTGCTGGCTTTGAAAAGCCAGTGTAATGGGCACACAAACTCACCAGCCATACTTACAATTAGATTTATTAAGGAAGTAACAAGATACAACTCGGAAATTAGGATCAACAGACTACAACT